CACCCACATCTCCCAGGAAAAAATCCAAAAGCTCCTCAGAAGTTCCTTTAATACCCAGACCTGGAGGCCACAGCAGGAAAAGGGAGCCTGACTCTGAACTCAGGGCACAGCAAAATAAGTTGATCCTTGAGGTCCCTCCCAACCCAAACCATTCCATGAGTCCAAGTTCACCTCAAACAGGATATGACCAGTCTCACACAGAACCATCCAACCCGGCAAGCACCAAATTATTTAAGGAACAAACACAACATAAATAAGGAGAAGTCCCTGGAGAATCTCCCTCCTGCTTTCTCCATCTCCTGCTTCCAGCCAGCTGTGACCGTGCCGAAGCAATCCCGGAGCAGTCCTGCCTAGAAGGGGACATTACAGAGGCAGAAAAGACACGGAGGAGCCTCTTTGTAATATTCCATGATCCCCCCGGGCGAGGCGCGGAGCCGGCGCTGCTGAACGCTGCACTTTTGGATTCAATTAAAGTGATTATCTGTTGTGCCAAATAAATTGTGTCCAGCATCTATCCTGCAGGATTTTACACCTCCAGCCTCATTATTCCCTAACTGTTTCCTCCTGTTTATGCTCTCTCCAATTAAATTGCTGATAATATGAGCCAAAATAAAAAACGAGCGCACCTTGTCCGGAGAAAATTGATTCCCTTTTTTTCCTGCACCGGGCGATTGCCAGGTTTTATATACTCTGTTCCTGGCGATCATTAGTAATTCAATTTTCTTTTTATTAGCCCCCTTATCTGCTGAGCAATATAGTGGCAGAGCTGACCTCTTTCGCACGGGTAAATGTTTAAAATCTTTTCCCTGATTAATTTTGCCAGTTAAGGAAAAGAGGAGAAATGATCCGGCTCTTTGCCATCACAATGAATAAAGCTTAATGTTGATTGTGATGGAATTTCTAATGCCAAGGAAATTGATTGAACGCAGCAATTACCCCGCAATAGGAACTCCAGGGAAATGGGATGGTTTTCTCCCCGGCCGTAGCCTTTTGGTTATTTAAAACAATCCAATTTGCAAGGATAATTATATATTAGTGTTTTATCTGCCACCGGGAATGAACATGGGAATTTTGATACTGGCCCGGCATTAGCAGGTTATTGCTGCAAATTACTCCAGATCTGCTTTCTTTCACATAAAGACGAAATTAGGCCATCAATAACCAGAAAAAGGTGGACTGAGGAGATGGAAGAGGCACGAGTGCCCTCTGCAGGGCTGTGTGCACTTCCCAAAATCCCCAATTCTCCTGGAAAAACCCCGATTCTCCTACAAAACTCCCAGTTTTCCCACATGTAGCACGCAGTCATCACTCCCATTCTCCTCATCCATACATTTGCCACATCTCCGGCATTAAAATTAATTAGAAAAAAATTAATAAATCCTCCTTCGAAGCACTTATTCCTAGTTTCTTCTGAGGAAAAAGTCCTGGGAATAAGAAATGACAGCTTGGATGGCCAAGCAGGATGAGTCAAGGAATGGTGAGGAAAGGTTCCCAACTGCCAGAACTCACTTGTTTGTCAACAAAAAATAGTTTGGGAATAAGCCTCATCCTGCAAGAAATCCCAGATAAAGATAGGAAAAAGCTTTTGGAAAAGTGTGGGATTCCCATATCCTCTGGCATGGGACTTTTAGGCTGAGAAAAGAAGGAATATCCCACTGTTATCACACCGGGATCAGTGAAATCTCACAAGCTGGTGTTTTCCCTCAGAACTGGTGAGTAAAAGACGCCATCCCTGAACTTTTGGGAATATTCCATCTTCAGTTTGGAGAAAGTGGATAAAGAATTCCCAAAGCAATGGGACAGGATGTGGACAAAAAGCTCATTTGGCATTTAGACGGGAAGAGCTGGGAGTGTCCAGCCTGGACAACGGAAGAATCCAGGAAGAGCCTGGAGCCCCTACCAGTGCCTAAAGGGGCTCCAAGAGAGCTGGAGAATGACTTTGGACAAGAGCCTGAAGTGCCAGGACAAGAGGGAATTACTTTCTACTGCCAGAGGGCAGGGATAGATGGGATTTGGGAAGGAATTCCTCCCTGTGAGACTGGGAAGGTGCCAGAACAGAATTCCCAGGGAAGCTGTGGCTGCCCCATCCTTGAAGTGTCCAAGGCCAGCTTGGATGGAGCTTGGAGCAACCTGGGATAGTGGAAGGTGTCCCTGCCCATGGCAGGGAGTTGGAATTCCATGATCTCCAAGGTCCCTTCCCACCCAAACCATTCCATGGTTTTATCCAACACAATGACACCTCAGACTTTGATGATCCTTGCTGGTGATCCAGCTTTTCTCTGGATAAGGAGAAAAACAACCACTGCCATTTATCCTTCTTCCATCACATCCCTGAGGATCCCAGAGGCGAGGGAGGCAGCCTGACCTGGAACTTCCTCCCTGCTCCACCACTCCATTGGAAAAACTTCCATTTGGGACACACTCCAATATCTGAGCTGTTATTAGACATTCCACTTAATCAAGTATTTTGGAATTAATTGATAAGAGCTGCAGGTAGATCTCTCATGGAACAGCCCAAATAATCCCAAGCAAATTCCTACCAATATGCCACTTTCCATTGGCTCTCTGATCCCTAAATAAAAGCAATTCCCACAGAGGGAAGTGTCTCTGGACAGAGCATTGGGAAACACCAATCCCAATTCAGAAATGGCTGGAAAAGCTTCCCTACTGATGAGACCAAACAGATTCATTTGGGTCCAAGAAGGGAATTGGAAAGTCAGGAGACAGGACTTGGGAAAAGCAGGAGCAATGTCTTTGTAAAACCCCCAGAGCTGTGCCACAGATCCCAAAATCCTGTGGAACAGGACAAACAGGAAACCAGCCAGGCTGCGTCACCACAGGCCCCACATTCGTGGTGACGGAAGGGGCTGATCCAGCTTTTCCAGCCACACTGCTGTGCAGGAAGTTGGGAACATTCCTCTCCACTGTCTTTCCCTCCAGTGTGATCCCAGAAATGGATTCACCTCCCTGCTCCATTCCTGCCCCACTCTGCTCCCAGTGTATCCCAGTAACCCCATTTACTTCCCTCATACCTGTCCAAGGAGAAATGGAAAAGGCTGGAAATTCCACCACTTTGTGGTGATTAATACCCACAATATTTTGCTGGGATTAATATCCACACTTTGCCCCAAAAGAAACCAAAACAACATTCCCAAAACCTCTTGGAAAACCTGGGAGACAGGAATTAAATCCACAAGACTTCACTTGTTTCCAGCTCCCTGTGCAACCAGAAAACACTGGCACCACATCCATAATTATACATTCAGAGGGAACGTGGGGAATGTGGGAGTTGTCCCAGTCCCTGTGAGGATCCAGGATCTCCCAGACTTGGGAATAACCCTGCCCCATCCATCACCCAACAATCTTTTCCTACTAAACCTGGAGGAAAAGAGAACAACACAGGAGTCCTGGAGCACACAACAGCCCTGGAATAATTCCACAGCTTTCCAAACCCAAGGTTTAAGAATATTCCAACATATGAAGCTGCAAATCCTCTGCCTGGGATTGAAGCTCTCCAAGAAAAATCTTGAAGTACAAAAGGATTCAAATCCAGGAATTTTAATCAAAGGGAGCAAATCCAAAATTCACGGAGGGAATTCCAAGGCAATTCAGGTTCTTCCTGAATTTCTCTGCAAAAGAGAAGGTGCCACACAGAGAAGCATCTGCCAGGAAAGGCTGGATAGCTGGATGCAGTTTTGGAGGGGGGAATGAACTCCCTGCTCTCCCAGAGGTCACTTCCAGAGCCATTCCCTTTTTTTTCTTCCATTTTCCAACCTTCTTTATTTGCCAACTTCCCAAATCCTGTAGAAAAACCATATTCCTGCTTTCTTTTCTCATTCTTATCCAGTTAAAATCAAGATTTCAGTATGGGAACATTCCTTACAATCAAGGAACTGCAATTCCAAACAAGCTGATATTCCTGGAATCATCACTGCCTCAATTCCCTCTGAGGTTAAAATGCTGCAGCAATCTCAAATTGCTCCGTGTCACCAGAGTTTTCTGTCTTTTCATGGAATCATGGAAGGATTTGGGTTGGAAGAACTCAAAGATCATGGAATTCCACACCCCTGCCATGGGCAGGGACACCTTCCACTATCCCAGGTTGCTCCAAGCCTCATCCCACCTGGCCATGGTCATTTCCAGGGATCCAGGGACAGCAACAGCTTTTCTGAAAGTTCCATTCCAGAACCTCACCACCCTTCTATGGAAGAATTCCTTCCTAAATTCCCATCTAACCCTGCCCTCTGGCAGTGGGAAGCCATCCCCCTTGTCCTGGCACTCCAGCCCCTTGTCCATAATCCCTCACCCAGGAAAACTCAAAACCATCTCAGAGCTGTTTGAACACAAAATAATCCCAAAATATAACTGGAGATAAATCCCAGCTACATCTGATCCAAACCCCTCTCCCAGCTCCAGCAATTCCCACAGGGAATTTCATGGGACCACAGGGAAAATGTGTCTTGTATCCATCTGAAACAACCAAATCAAAGGCAGGGGAAGCCTTTTATCCATAAAAATATCCCCAGGGAACAGAAGAACCAGACTTGGAGTGACCAACATTACAGCAACATTCCAGACACTTGGAGGTTCCACTCTGAGCTCCAAATTCTGCTCCAAGGCAGCAGGACTTGGATGCAAATTCCCTGTTCCCAAACATGATGGGTTCAGTATTCCACTAATTACTGGTGTCTTAAGCAAATTAGATCCAAAACTGGACACCACACTGGGATACAGGTGAGAGATTTGTGTATTCCTGCCTCATCCAACCTCTTCCTTCTTGGAAAACCTTCCTGAAAATCCAGGGAAACCCCAGGAAAAACAGGAAACAGTTTTTTTGTGGAGATGCCAAAGGACAACACAAATATGGAGTCAAACTTCTCCTCGGTGTTCGCTCCACGACCAACAACATCTGCAGGAGGACTCAGCAACACATTCCTAAATCCAAGAACCCTTGGAATCACTCCACTGAGCCAGGGAGACCTTGGAATGTCTGTTCCTACCTTCCTTGGTGGCCACCTGTGTCCTGGTCGCTGGCATCCGGCAGAGCCGGTGCTTGGAGATCTGCACCAGGCCCCGGGGCGAGGAGCGCTTCGCCGTCACCGAAGGTTTTCCCCGCACGGAATTTCTCCTCCGGAGGTGGAAGCGGCTCTTCAGAGCTGTGCTGGAGGAGATGTTCTTCTTCTCCGTGGGGGATCTGGGAAAGGGAACATCCTTGTTACTGTTCAGGAACACATAATCACAGAATGATTATTTGTAAGTGCTTTTATTAAAGAGTGTCTGAGGTACTCAGACTTGGTTTCAAGCTGAACATGTTTTATACTCTATCGTTATATAACTTACATATTAATTATTAAACTTATATTGTACTGTTGTATACATTGATTTCATCCAAGCGTGGATTTCTCGTGATCCCCCTCAAACTTCTCACACAGCTTCTCATGATTCTTTAAACAATAATTATATCTAATCACATCTAACAATTATATCATTTATCATATACTGACTACACAGGTGAAGTTTCACATGATCTTAGCAAACACAAGGCCTAACATTTCCCAAGGTCTACCTTTAACACTTTCCCAGGGCCTACCAAGCCTAACTTTCTTTCTAACCCTCCAAATTTTCTATGATTTTAAAATCTTTTACTATCAACATGGTTAGGGGGGAGCAAGGAAGTGACCAAAACACTGCTGGTGTCCTTCTCCAGGGCTCCAAGAGGAGCTAAATCCCCCCAGGATTCTCCTCTGGCTGAGGAGGAGGAGAAGCTCTGAACAGAAAATTCCAAGGAAACAGGCAATTGTGAGGAATTCCTGGCAAGGAACAGATGGAGAATGGTGTTTGACAGCCAAACTTCCTCACTGCCTTCTGCTCGACAGATGTGAGGGATTGAATCATGGAATCATGGAATGGTTTAAGTTGGAAAAGACCTCTGAGATTGTCAAGTCCAAGCATTTTCCACCAGTGCCAAGGTCACCACTGAACATGTCCCCAAGTTCCACTTCCAGAGGGATCTTACATTTCTCCAGGAATGGGGATTCCCAATGCCTGACCACCCTTTACAGGAAGGAATTTTCCCAATATCCAAACTAAACCTCTGCTGGAGCAGTTTGAGGCTCATGCCCTGTCCCTTGTGCCCTGGGAGATCCTGATCCCTCCTGCCTTCACCCTCCTGTCAGGGACTTTAGGGAGCCAGAAGGTTCCCCCTGAGCCTCCTTTTCTCCAGGCTGAGCTCTTCCAGCTCCCTCAGCTGCTCCAGACCTTTCCCCAGCTCCATCCCCAATTCTGGACACGCTCCAGATCTTCAATATCCTCCCCGCAGGATTTGAGGAGCCTCAGCAGTGCCCAGCACAGGGGGATGATCCCTTCCCTGGTTCTGCTGGAATTTACCAAGGTGTGGGAGGTCTCCCTGAACTGCAAAAAAAATCCCAAACATTCCCAGCTTCTCCAGGATACTCCTGAGTGATTTTCCCAGCACAATCCACCCACTGATAGTTTCTCAGGCAAAGCAGGAGGGCAAGGCAAGGATGGAAACCTGCTGGGAAGCACTGAAGGGATCTGGGAAACAGAAGAAGGAACCAACACAACAATTACAAGAATTTAAAATTAAATCAAGGAAAATGTGGCTTCCTTTGCTGAGTGAGGAAGTGTTGGTGACCACAGGGATTCACAGGATCCAGCTCTGGATCACCCAACATCAGGAAGATGTGGAACTCCTGGAGCAAATCCAGAGGAGGCCATGGAAATGCTCCAAGGGATGGAGCCCCTCTGCTCTGCAGCCAGGCTGGGAGAGCTGGGAATGTCCAGCCTGGAGAAAAGAAGGATCCAAGGAGACCTCAGAGCCCCTTTCAGCACCTGAAAGGGCTCCAGGAGAGCTGGAGAGGGACTTGGGATAATAAATGGAGGGACAGGACACAGGGAATGGCTTCCCACTGCCAGAGGGCAGGGATAGATGGGAAATTGGGAAGGAATTGTTCCCTGGGAGGGTGATGAGGCCCTGGCATGGAATTTCCAGAGAAGCTGTGGCTGTCTCATCCCTGAAGCAGCCAAGGCTGGATTGGACAGAGCTTGGAGCAGCCTGGGATAGTGCAAGGTATCCTTGTTCATAGCAGGGGTGTGGAATCCCAAGATTTTTAAGGTCTTCCAACCCAAACCATTCCACGATTCCAATAAATCCACCAGCACACAACAACCCTCACTCAAATTTCCCCCACAGCCAAAACTTGATATGAAATCCATGGACACAAAATCCAAACCAACAACTTACCCCACGTTCCCTTTCCTCTTGATGATTTTTGTCCGGCTCTTCACTTTGTAACTGGACAGTGCAGCCTCTCCAAAGGATTTCATCCCACCGGGAACAACGGATGCAGCGCTCGGAGCAAGTGGGACAGAGGTGGTGGGAGGGATATTTGGGGCTGGAGGCTTCTTCTGGTCCTCACTTCTCCACTGGAATGCTGACTTGGAAGTGGAAGGCAAAGTCTGCAAGCTGGAGGCTTTCCACTTATATTTACTGGGAGAAACCCCCAGCTTGGATTGCAACCCCAATTTCTTTGTCTTTGCTCCCAAATCCGCTTTTGGGGAGATTTTAGCACCTTTGTCCACTCCCGCAATGCCCTTCTTGGAATTTTCAGCCCGAGGGCTCGCCCACCTCTTCACAACCCGAGAATTTTTCCCAGGGTTTGCCACCCAAGTGTAGTTGTTCTTCCTGAATTTCTGAGATTTGCTGGAGGTGGGTGCTGAGGCAGCTTTTTGGAGAGTGGGAGCTTTGGGAATTACGGGAAATCTGCTCTTCACCGTAGTCACCCCCACCTGAGCAGGTTGAGAGAGCGTCTCCGCATTCCGAAAGAGTTTGGGATGTAGGGAAGCATCCCGGACTTCCTCACCACTCAGCTGCCCTGGAGAGGGTGGTTCTGCCTTGATCCATGCCAGCTGGGCTGGCTCCTGACCTGGCAATTCCAAAGGCTCTTGTGGCTCTGACTTCAGCGCCACGGCACTTTCACTGGTGCTTCCAGAGGCGGAAAAGGAGCTCCCGGCTCCACTTCCAGGCAGGCACACAGTCCTCGATGTGGAACTGAAGGAAATGGATAGGGAAGGTCTTCTCTCTTCCTTCTGGAGAAGAGATTTCTGGATATTTCCATCCACTGAAGGAGCCACCGCTGCTTCCCGCCCGGAAAACTTGCTGTAAGGATCCACATGCTCCTGGCCAGCCCTTTGTGGCACCTGGATATCCACAACGATGTTCCCATCCGTGGTGAAGTCCACATGTCTCTCCGGAGACGATTCCGGTGGCTCAGGAGTCTGGGTGTCCCCAGGGCTCCCAAAACCCTGGGAAGTGCAGGAAGCACTTCCAACGTCATACCCCGATCCCAGCAGCCGGTTGTCCAGGGAGTATTTTTTCCTCCAGGAGTGAGTCTGGCGAGGGTGGAAATTCCTGGGAGCCTGTTGGGAGTACCTGGTGGAAAAGGTTCCTCTCCTGCTGTAGCTGGGCTGGCAGGGGTTGTTCCACCTCGGAGGAGCCGATGGTGCCGGACGTGGGACATTCCCGTGCATATTCCTGTGGCTGTTTATGAGACCTGTGGAAGAGAAAACAGAGCATTAATTCCCTGAACCCTTGGGAATTTGAGAGCAACACAGCTCCTTGTGCTGGAATTACATCATCACTCAGGTTTGGATGAGCCAGGGTGGAAGGAAAAGTCATGAATCCAGGAATGGTTTGTGTTGGAAGAGACCTTCAAGAACATCCAGTTCCACTTCCCTGCCATATCCCTGGATTCCACAGGTTGCTCCAAGCCCCATCCAATTTGGCCTTGGACACATCCAGGGATCCAGAGGCAGACACAGCTTATCTGGGAATGCCATTCCAGCCCCTCACCATACTCACAGGGAAGAATTCCTTCCTAATATTCCATCTACCCCTGCCCTCTGGTAGTGGGAAACCATTCCCTGTGTCCTGGCAGATCCTGATCCCACCTGACTCCACCCTCCTGTCTGGGAATTTTAGGGAGCCAGAAGGTTCCCCCTGAGCCTCCTTTTCCCCAGGATGAGCCCTCCCAGCTCCCTCACTTCCTGGTTCTCCAGACCCTTCCCAAGTTCCCTTCCTTGCTTCACTTGAAAGCAGAAACAAAGAAACTCCAAGGCTCTGCTGTTGTGTCCCTCTGGAAGCCAGCACCTCTCTCTGGTGCTTTGATCCATCAACATCCCCGTTAATTCAGGAATTTCTGCCCTTGTCCAGCCTCACTGTTTAAAAAACCTTTCCCATGAGTGATTCCCAAAGGAATTTCAGGCAGAGGAGTTTTTCCTTCACCAGGGTCACTGAGCTGCCAGGAGAGCTGCATCAGCACATTCCTCATGGAAAAGCAAGGACTGTTTTCCTCCCTCTCATTGTTCCCCCATGTAGGAGCTCCTGGAGAAGCAAATCCCAAGTCCTGAGCAGAGGTTGTGGCCTCAGTAACCATAAAAATTTACTTTGAAGGGCAAAAATTGAGGGATTTGGCACTAAAATAAGCTCTGGCGCCTTCCAGAGCTTGGGAAGGGCATGTTGATACAGATCCCACCTCTGTGCTCCCAGCCCGGGACTGTGGGACAGGGAAAAGCCCCTTCCCAAGGCCAGGAGAGTCCTAGATTATGCTGAGAGCAGCACTGTGGAAATTCCCGGGTATGTGGATCCCAAAATCCCACAGCATTCCATGAGCTGTGTTCCCTCCCTGCCTTGGTCCACTCAGTTTTCCTGGGTCTCTCCCCTTTCCATTTTTTTCTCAGCACTCCCTGGATCACTTCCCCCATCTTCCAGAATTCCCAGAGTCCTCTCTTTCCCCCTTTCCTTCCTTCTCCCAGCGCTCTGTGATCTTCTCCATCCCCATCCCACTCACACTCCCCCCCAATCTCCTCCCTAAAATCCAACATCCCTTCCACAGCTTGAACCTCCCCGCATCAACTCCCCAGGTCCTGTCACAACCTGTCCCTGTCCCACCACAGATTCCCGAAATTCCCTTTAAACACCGCGCCGTCCCCCAAGACGCCCAGGTTTCCCCTTATCCCTCCTCCAGGCCCTCTCACATTCCTCCCAGTTCCCCTCGTAGCAGCCGCTCTCTGTTTCCCGATCCCGACCTCTTTTCCACATCCTCTCCTCCCTTTTTTTTCCCTGTTGGCCTCGGTGTCCCCTCGTTTCTCGGTGTCCCCGCCGATCCCTTGACACCCTGGAGCACTCGGATCTCCCGGCACAGCCGCTCCCGTTCCTCCATTCCCGCAGCGCTGCCACACGGCCCCGCGCCCTCGTGACGTCATCAGCCAGTGCCGCCCTTCGCCAACGGACGCACATGAGCGTGCCTCAGCGGTCACGTGACGCCGGCGACCGTTGCCGGGCAACGGGGACGGGACAGCGTGGCCTAAACTGAGCCAGCGTCTGGGCCTGGGATTGGGCCTAACCCAGCCCGGCCTGGCTGTTCTCGGCCTTTGTCCCCAGCCTGGGATAGCCCGGCTGTCCCCTATTCCCATCTCAGCCTGATCCAACTGTCATCAGACCCTGTTCCTTCCAACTGCCACCAGTCCCTGTCCCCCGTTCCCATCTTAGTCTGGACCAGCTGTCCCTACCCTTTTCCTCAGCCTGGGCCACCGCGGCTCTTCTCTGTCCTTAGCCCTTGTCCCCAGCCTCTGTTCCTTGCACAACCTCATCCAGCCATCTCCTGTCCCCATCCCAGCCTGGTCCAGCTGTCCCCATTTCTCCTGTCCCCATTCCTGCCTGGTTGGTCCAGCTGTCCCCATCTCCCAGTGATCAGATGGCTGCAGTATTTCTCCTATGACTGTTGTCCCAAAAAAGTGTGCAAGAACTGAGCCAAAATATTGGAGGTATTTACAGTTCTGCACAGAAAAGAAGGAGCTGTTTTTTCCTTTTCCTAGCCTTGGTTGTTTCTCCACCTCTCCCTGGTCCATTGTTCCATTGAGTTGGGGTTTGGTTGAGATTTTATCCCAAGTTTCTTATTCCCCTCTTTTTCCACATCTGCAGCTCCAGAGGCTCACTAAGGTGGTAATTACCGAGATGTGTGAAACACAATTTATCTACCTGGAAACTGGAAATCTTGGAGACAGGCTGGGAGAGCTGGGAATGTCCAACCTTGAAAAGAGAAAGCTCCAGGGAGACCTCAGAGTCTCCCCTTCCAGTGCCTAAAGGGGCTCCAGGAGAGATGGAGATGGACTTGGGACAAGGGATGGAGTGATAAGACACAGGGAATGGCTTCAAACTGAGAGAAGACAGGGTTAGGTGAGATATTGAACAAAATTCTTTCCTGGGAGGGTGCTGAGGCCCTGAAATGGAAGTCCCAGAGAAGCTGTGGCTGTCCCATCCCTGGAAGTGTCCAAAGCCAGGTTGGACAGGACTTGGTATAGTGGAAGGTGACCCTGACTGTGGCAGGGTTGGTATGGGATGATTTTCAAGATTACTTCCAATGCAAACCATTCCAGGATTTCTGGATCCTCTGTATCGAGGTAGACCCAGTCCAGCTGTCCCCAGCCCCTGTCCCCAGCCCAGCCTGGTCTGTCTCCATTCCCTGACTCCTGTTCCCTGTCCTCTTTCCAGCCTTATCCGAATATCCCAGCTGTCCCCATCCCCTGTCCCTCTCCCATCACCAGTGTCTTCCCACAGCCAGGAATGAGGGGGAGATTTTCCTGGTGATCCAAAGGACAATCTCCAGCAAGGAAACGTTAATTCCACCCATCACCCTCGTGATTCCTAATATCCCACACTTTGCCTGTCATTTATAAAATGTTTTGCAGGAAAACCAGTCCCAAAGGTTTAAATTTACTTGTGGAAGTGAAGAAAATCCTTAAGGAGCTTGTTTTCCAAATAATTTCGTTCTTCCCTGAGGGAATAAACCCCATAAACAAAGAGCAGCAGAGCCTCAAGTCTGCAAAGGAGATGAAACTCCAGCCTAAAATTATTCAGGGAACAAAAAACTGAGTCAAGGAGGGGGAGCAACATGACACCAGGATGGAACCTTTAGAAAAGCAGCCCATTATCAAACTCAGATCCTTTAAAATGCAGTCCCTTGGGATATCTCACTTCCCTATGTAGCTGGGGAGTTCTGCTTGTCCCAGCTCTGATCAAATCACATCTCTGGGATGAGCCCAAAATTCCCCTGCTTGGAAAGGAAGATTTAGTAAATTATTTATGGTGTTTTTTTGTCATTTTAAAGTGGAATATGGGAAGAGCCAGCTTGTTGGGAAAAACTATTTTTGGAAAAAAGGCTTCAAAATACAAAGAATTTAGGGAGTTTGACCCTAAAACTGCTAAAAAAACACCCCAAATCCTGTCTTTTTTCCAAGCCTTGCACGCATGGGAACAAGCTGGGAACCAGGCAGGCAGGAATGACAGATCTCCTCCCTTTGGGCGGCCTCAGATCAGTTTCAATCGATCCCAAATCCCACCCAGAGTTTCATAATGGCTTTAAACTGACAGGAATTGGCACTTGTGCCAAAAAAAATCCTCCTCCACTCCCAGCTGCTCCTTCCCTCCCTTGTGCTGGCACATGGAGTCGAGTGCTTTGCATAAATGAGCTCAAAACGAGCTGCTCTGAATTGAAATTAATTCAGCACACGTGGAGAGAAAGCTCATTTTTAACCCAGGGAAGCCGTGGATCCACCACTCCCACAAAATCCAACCTCGGGAAAAGGCGAACTCAAAGCTGTTTTACCAAGTTACACCAAAATTTGTAAGGAGAAAATGCAAAGTTTGGAGGATCTTGGACCACTTGGGGTCATCCTCGGATGTTTTCCATTTGGGAAATGGATGGGGGTATCCCGAGGAGGAGAAGCAGCATTTTAAGCATTATGAACTGGATCTTCTCCAGGGAATAGAGAGGAGCATCCTGCCTCGGGACAAGCAGCTGGCAGAAATCTCCCCTGAGATTTTTGCAGAGTGCAAAGGAGAGACAAAGATGTTAAAATATTAAAATAACCTTTTTTTTTTTTTCCCTGGCTTTCCAGCCCATTCCTGTCACAAGCAACATATCTAAAAAGAATTCATGGCACTTTTAATTCACAGCACTAAGTTTCTATGACACTTTGGAAGTCTAATTTAATTTTTTAAAAAAGAGGGGAAAAAAAAAATAAAAAAGCAAGTGCAGGGTTTTGGGTGTGAGTAAACATCCCAGGGAAGGGAACATATAGAATAGGAATTAAATTGTCTCGTTCAGCCCAAAAATAAATCCTTTCAATGTCCTAAAACATTATCCCAGTGCAGATCCAGTGACAAGTGTGCCAGAGGATCCCTGGATCCTGAAACACGCAGTACTGCCAGGGATCCATTTGCAGGAACAGCACGTGCAGGACATCATGGAATCATGGAATGGTTCGGATTGGAAAGGACCTTCAAAGTCATGGAATTCCACAGACACCTCACTCTCCCCAGACAGGGACACTTTCCACTATCCCAGGTTGCTCCAAGCCCCATCCAACCTGAGCTGGAACAATTCCAGGGATGGCGCAGCCACAGATTCTCTGGAATGTCTTCCAGCACTTATGAGTCTCATTGGATCATTCTGTCAAGATTTCAGGGAGATGCCTTAATTAAAGTGTAAAAAAAAAAATAGCAGAGAATCCAAGAGAAAGTGGAAAATCAAGAGAGTGAAGGTTTAAAACATGTGTAGTCCCAAGGTCGGTGGTTGCTCCCTGAATCCTTTTCCTGAAGGACTGGGAAAAGAACCTGGAGGTGAGTGACCCATTCCCTCCTGTGCCGGCACCATCCATGGCATGGACTTGTGGGATGTGACCTGGATGCAGAACTTCTCCTTTTCCTCCTTTTCCTCCTTTTCCTCCTTTTCCTCCTTTTCCTCCTTTTCCTCCTTTTCCTCCTTTTCCCCCTTTCCCCCCTTTTCCTCCTTTTTTTCCTTTTCCCTTCTCCTTCTCCTTCTCCTTCGCCTTCTCCTTCTCCTTCTCCTTCTCCTTTCTATTTCTCCTTCCCATCTTTCTCTCCTCCTCTTCCTCTGCATCCTCCTTCTCCCCCTTCTTCTTCTCAACATTTCCAGGGATGGGGCATCCACAACTTCCCTGAGCAGCCTGATCCAGCAGCTCACCATCCTCATAGTTTCTTCTTTATCTCCAATCTGAACCTCTCCCCTTTCTGTTTAAATCCCTCATCCTGTCACTCCAGGCCCTGCTAAAAACCCTTCTTCCCATTCCTACAGAAATCCACGGACACAGCCCCAGCTCTGAGAGGAGCTCAGCAATTATTTACCACTGAAGAAATTTGCTTCTCCTCTGAAAAGTTTTTCCTATTTTAACACCAATGGGGGGAAAAAAAAAGTGCTTCCCAAGGGCAAACAAACTCACAACTCACATTTTTTTGCTGATAACAGCAGGACTCCGGAGCGGGGCTCAAGGGAAGGAGATCTCTCCTGGGCTAGATGGAAAACAGAGAAGAAAATGTCAGTAACAGGAAAATAAATGGCTGCAGGATCCTAAAGGAAAAGCTGCTGTCATTTATCAAGTGGGTGCTGGGGTTTTGTTGTGGTGTCTGGGTTTTGAGGATGTTTCTTGCCTCTGGTGGCGCTGCCAGGGCAGGAGCCACACACAGAGCTGAATCCGTGTGTTTGGGAAAGGGAGAAGCCAGAGGGATGATCTCTGCACTTCCACATCACTATCATTCCCAGCAGGAATTATTTTCCAAGGTATTTCAAGTGGGGACAGAAAGCAAATCCTCTTCTTTCTCCTTTGTGTTCATCCACTGAATTCAGGATGGTTCATTTGGCAATTCCATGGAGGCAGAAAGACCAACCATGGATCAAAAACCTCAGCTACAAATCAATTAATCCAGAAATGTCCTAAATCCTCTGCTCTGTGGGAAGGGGAATTTGGGGGCTGTGACATCCCACGGCAAAATGCATTTCCTTTACTGAGAGAGGAGGTGACCACAGGGACTCACAGGACCCAGCTTTGGGGTCCCCCACAGCAGAAGGACCTGAAGCTGCTGGAGCAAATCCAGGGGAGGCCATGGAAATGCTCCAAGGGATGGAGCCCCTCTGCTCTGGAACCAGGCTGGGAGAGCTGGGAATATCCAGCCTGGAGAAAAGAAGGATCCAGGGAGACCTCAGAGCCCCTTCCAGTGCCTAAAGGGGCTCCAGGAGAGCTGGAGAGGGACTTGGGACAAGGGATGGAGGGACAGGACACAGGGAATGGCTTCCCACTGCCAGAGGGCAGGGATAGATGGGATATTGAGGTGCTGGAATGGAATTCCCAGAGAAGCTGTGGCTGCCCCTGGATCCCTGGAAGTGTCCAAGGA